GTAAGAGAGAGAAACGTAAAAATACAAAATTGTCCATGTAATATGAAGATAAAATAAAAAGTAAGTGTGAAAAAGTAAGGGTATGTTGGGTATATGTAGTGTGAACATAGATATTTTTTGTCCTAAAATGGAAGTGATGCAATATTTGTGAAACTTCCCTAAAAGGCAAGTAATGCGATATTAAAAAAATGGAGGAAGTAATAATAATGTTGGAGTCAATTAGTTTTCTAGCTTTCAAACACATGATGTCTTTAATTTTTTATTCTAAAATTCTATGCATTCTTTTTTTTTTTTTTTTTTTTTTTTTTTTTTTTTTTTTTTTGGAGCTGAGAAATTATAACCACTCCAAATATTAACATTTAAAATAAATAAAAAAAAATAAATAAAAAAAACTTATTATCCTCCACTCCTCTTATATTTTTTTTCCTTTAATATAGTTATTTCTCGGGAATTAGCACAAGCACATTGTACTACTCCAGTTAGTAATAATTCAAATGTTAGTTATATAGATTGCTCCTAAACTATAAAAATAAAATTAAAAAAAAAAAATTCAAAGTAACCTCTTGGTAGCCAATTGCCCTCACTAACTATAAATGATTATTTTTTTTGCAAGACATATCTTATGCATCAACACAAGCACATTTTAGTGAAATAAAGTAAAAGGGAGTTGAATTTATTGAAACACCGCAAAACTTTAATTAAAAAGTGAGTTGAACTACTTTTGAGATGGAAGGGAGCTAGCTAGTATTGTTAATTATATAGTATAAAAGCCAAAGTGATTAATTAGATAGAAAATAGAATTGAATGACTTGAATTTCTCATTGATCGTAATGTCAAATATATAATAGTTACACCTCCTAACAATAAAATTAAAAGATATGCTAGAATCCTAGGAAGTTAACTAAAAATACAATAGATAATATTTGTCAAAAGATATCCTCACCAAAATATATTATACGATATCTCATTACCTCCCCTCAAGTTGGAACGTGCGGATTAGAAACGCCTAACTTGGAAAGAAGATAATCAAACTGAGATTTGCCGAGAGCCTTGGTGAGGATATCCGCGAGCTGTGAGTTGGTTGGAACATGAGAGGGAGAGATCAAGCCTTCAGTATTGCATCTCGAATAAAGTGAGAATCAACTACAATGTGTTTCATTCGTTCATGAAAAACCGGGTTCTTAGCTATGTGCAGAGTTGACTCACTATCACAAAATAATTTAACTGCCTTCGGATGCTGAACACCTAGACTCAACAGTAGAGCTTTTAACCATTTAAGTTCATAAGTAATAGCCGCCATGGACCTGTATTCGGCTTCTGCCGATGATGTTGACAATGTGTGCTGCTTTTTAGTTTTCCATGAAATAGGTGACTTGCCAAGAAACACTAGCCACCCAGACAAAGACCTCCGTGTAAGAGAACAGACGGCCCAATCTGAGTCACACCAACCTTGCAGATTTAAGTCACAACTAGAGCTCAAAAGAATACCCTATCCCGGAGTGCCCTTTAAATAGTGCACTACTCTCAATGCCGCTTCCCAATGTTCACTACGGGGTTCTTGCATAAACTGAGATAGTATGTGAACTAAATAGGCTAAGCCAGGTCGTGTTACACCAAGGTATATCGAACGACCAACCAGCCTTCTATACAGCTATGGATTCGAAAGTGGCGCACCACTTGCTAGGCCGAGCTTGTGATTTTGTTCCATCGGAAACCCACTTGGCTTTGCACCCAATAAACCTGCTTCAGTGATGATATCCAAAGTACATTCACTACAAGAAAACAACTAGATTCCAACGGAAAAAATCCGTCGAAAACATCGGAAATGTTTATTGAGGAAAAAAAAAATATTTAACCTACTCTTGATACCATGATAAATTAGATAGAAAATAGAATTGAATGGCTTGAATTTCTCATTGATCGTAATGTCAAATATATAATAGTTCCACCTCCTAACAATAGAATCAAAAGATATGTTAGAATCCTTGGAAGTTAACTAAAATACAATAGATAATATTTTCCAAAAGATATCCTCACCAAAATATATTATACAATATCTCATTACAAAGCGTTACAAATCAACTAGGGTGGAGGATGTAAGGAACAAAAAATTGCATGCCATTTGTTAGATTTGCCTTTCATTAAAAAAAAATATATATCAATCACCAAAATTGGGTTAGCAACAGAAGTTGGAAGGAGCAGGTCACGGCAAACCAAGATTTGATAGATTATCCAACCCCGGGAAATATAAGTTATTGATATGGATTCAGTTCGTTATATTAGTTATTATCGGATATTATTATGCAAGATTATTCTCTAGAATTGTCCTAGAAGAATATTCTTTGTATATACTTTATAGGCTTGGTATTAAGCAGATTATAGGCTTGATATTAGGCAGATTATTAGCATATGATTATTCTAGTTGCCATATTACTTGCCTCACTTTACGCATATACTCATGTATTTAAGGGAAGGATTTTTTCCTCTTGGAAATCAGAATAACATCAGCATGATTCAACACAGTATAAAATTAAAATGAGTCTCATGAATTTCCAGATGGTTCTTGAGTTATCTAGGTCCAATACATTGGTAAAAAGGTAATAGTTACACTATTCCATGCATTATCCCTCCCACTCCTTAGAAAGAGATTCCCTAGCTAGAATAGCAAAAGGAATCTACTCCTTTGAGATTAATATGAAGAACTTTGGTAAGCAAAGGACAAAGGATGTTTGGCTTAAATTCAGGTAGTCGGAATCTTTATTTTTATAAGAGTTTCTATCCATAGTGTTTAGTGACTAGAAAGTTTTGCTAGCTAGCTCCCATTTAATGTAATATGGTCTGAAGTACTCCATTTATTTTGTTGCTATATATCCTATATTGCTATTCATGGTCTTGTACCAAATACTTGATCCAAGCTAAGTCATTATTTTATACCATAAACTATAATGTGCCACAAACTTGGGATCAACATTGAATTGTCGGGATTCATTCCGATTTTATTTTATCCCTCCCTTATTTATCAAATACCCATTTTTACTATTTTTTTTTAACTATTTATAAACTCCATTTCGACCAACACTGGTAATTTAGATACATACATAATTTATATACATACATATAAGATAAAATTATAGTTATTTGGAATCTCGTTAAATTAATGTATAATCTTTTATTACCAACTTAATTTCTCTTTTTTTAACTTTTTGAAAATTGAAGACATAAATTGTCAATGTTCTATATCAACAAGCATGAAAAGTCAATATGCATGGGTAAATTTAAAAGTCGTGTTTGGACCTAATTTTGTCTTGCAATCTCTCCAATCTCAATGAAGTCCTATCACATCATTGGTCGAGAAATGGAAATTATAAATTATATACTAGTGCACAAATGTAACTTTATAAATATTGAACTAGTATTCTAGGGATTTTTTTTTTAAAAAATTTATTATTATTATTATTATTATTATTATTATTATTATTATTATTATTATTATTATTATTATTATTATTATTATTATTATTATTATTATTATTATTATTATTAAGATTTAAGGTTCTTTTTTTAATTATTATTTTTTTATGGCAAGAAATTGTTGATTTCAGGTAATATTGGTAGTAATTGCATTTCAGTTGATTCACCTTTTATTATTTTATTGTAGAAAATTACATTTTCTAGGTGAACAAGGAGCCAAGGAGGACGAATAATTCAAAGGGTAGAAAACATTTATTTTATTCGAATAATTGTTAAAAAGGGTAAAAAGGCCGGTAAAAGATGGTTTTAACTTGAGAAAAATAATTTGTAGATACATCATACATCCAATAACTTTTGAAAGGTTTTGTTTGACAACTTTTTCATTGAACATCAAATGTAGATGAGTTAGATTGTTATGATTAAAGTTATAATACTTCGTATACTTGTGACAGAAGTGACACTTTGTAATAGTAGACCTTGTAATTAAAATAGTTATGGTCGGTCATACATCTAGACTATCCAATGCAAAACTGATTTATTTGATCCAAACTTGAATTATGCTTGAAAGGCTGAAATTAGAATATCGATTAACCAAAATTAAAATTGACTCTATCAGTGTTAAAACTAATGAGTTACTATATTTTTTCACAAATAAGCTTAATTATTATAATCAATAATATCATATATGGTTTTTTACTACTAAATTGATATGAATCAACAAAATAACTCACCACGCACTCAAACATGCATGATGCACACATAATATGATTACTATATTCATCCAAACATAGTCCAAATTAAACGACTCGTTTTCACCTTTAAAAGCCAATATAAGGTAAGCTACATATATTGATACATATCTTTCTCTAATCTGTTGAACCCGTGAGTTCTCTCATGTAGTAACATTACTATATAACTCCCACACAATAGGTGAAGCTATTGTATTATTGCCCTTCTATAAAAAGAGTTAAAGGTGTCAAAGAGGGGTCAAAGCACTATTATAACGCACTAGTCCAATAATTTTGAGCTAATCCTCTATAAGTTAATTACAAAATTTTTTTAAATTATGACATTATTATTATGATTATTATTAAGATAGACATATAAGCACTACACGTATGTAAGAAATCCAACTAATAAGCAATTAACATCACCTTTATATATTATACTTTTCATCATGGTCTATGATGAGCATTGCTACTACATAAAGATCTATGTTGCTTTACTTTTTTTCTTTTCATTTAAAAAAAAAAAATTAAAGAAATTAGCTAGCTTAGCTTATCACAACTTATCCTCTTAAAAGTGAAATGGCGACTCATATCAACTTGCCCATTACTAAGATTAGATAAATGAGTGCTTAATCATTCACTTAGGTCAATTTCATTTTGCACCATGCAAACATTTTAAGCAAGTTTTTACATACATTGATATGAACACATGGAAAACTCGAGGAAAAAAAAAACTTATATTTCAATTTGGAAATACAGTTACATATTTGCAATAGATATGATGATCAAGTACCCCAATGATAAGCGTGAAAATACAAAGATTTTATTGACATTTAATTATATTGTAGCAACAAAAATTACAAAGATTAAATTATGGTTCAAAATAGAAAAAAAAAAAAAGGAAAAATGAGGGGGTTAAAAATAATTTAAAAAGAAAGTTGAGGGAATAGAGATGGAATTTAGGAATAATTGGGGTTATACTAGATGCACATATAGCCCCTCATGACAGCTACACTTAGCTTGTTGATCTTTTACATGGACGTCACGTACACCGAACCCGGCCCATGCAAAGGCTAATTGATCATGTAATGCCATGAAATTAATGCTTAGACGGCGACGCTGATTGGTGGTGGAGTATGGTTATTGAGGCCACTGATCTTCATAGGCTCATCGCCGTTGTTGTTGTTGTGGAGGTTGAGCATGTTAAGGTTTGGGATTTGGATCGCGTAAAGTCCATCATTGGTTGGAGTAGTTGTAGCCTTAGCTGCCTGAGGTTTCACTGGCTCTTCTATAATGATTTGATCGGTTGAGGTATCCTTGGTCTTTCCGACTTCAATGTCTTTTGCGATTGTCTTGGGGTTACGGTATATGGCATAGAGGATCATTTGCACAATTCCGAAGGTGAATCCAAGCACATTTGGAATCTGTTTTTGTAAATATAATACAATGGAAAAGGAACAAGTTAGTATTAGGTCTCCAATTAGTTTTGTGTAATTAAGGTAGGAGTAAATTTGTGCAAAATCATGATAAGTAATTCTTACCGCGATGTAGTAGTCATGCTTGAGGAGACCGTAGAAGAACCATACAACGGCACTTATGGTAAGGAAGAATGAGAGGAAGAATGGCATGTACTCAACACTTTTGGTGCGGATAACTTTCCTCTGTTAAAGAAATTATCACAAAGTTAATACTTTTGTGACAAAAATCAATTGGAAAAGTTAAATTGTGTATACACTTTACATGTGATTTACTCCTAGTACTTACCATGACACCTAGGGGCGCAACGAAGACACACAATGAGAAAATGAGGCAAATCCATCCAAGGATGAGCAGTCGAACACGGGTTGTCTTTGCAATCACCATTGTAAAGAAGACAATAACACCAAATCCGAAAACATTGAATAGAAGGATTTGCTTGAAAGTTGAGATCTGCAAAATAATAGTTCATGTATAAATTAGTACACAACTTATGACAATTAGCGAGAATAATTATAGGTATTGCATAAGTATTTTCTTTAAACGACAAGTTTAGACACATACCCTAGTCTTTTTGTTGGCATAGACGAGGAAGATAGCAATATAGATGGTTTCAATGAAGAGACCGAAGGAGTTAATCGTGACCAAGAAGATCACATCAGTCTTAACAAAGGCATACAATAGCCAAAGTATGCAGCTGAAGAATGCTATCACATAAGGAATGCTTTGAAATTCCTCAGTTGATTTCTTCTTGTAAATACGGTAAAATGTTGGACTGCAATAAAATAATTAATTATTAGAAAAATTAATACCAAACAAATATATTTATTAATATAACTCGTCTTATTTAGGTTAAAAATTATGTAACTTATTTAAGAAGATCAACTTACATTGGAGAAAGGAAGACCATGAAAGAAATTGTGTTACCTATAACAAGGGCAAAAGTGCAAAAAAAGTAATCAATAAGTGAAGGAAAATAGGGAGCATAAAAAAAAACCTTCATAATAAAAAAAATAAAATCCACAGGTGTAATCTCTGTTGTTATATGTAAGCAAATGATTGATGAAAAAGTGCAATTAAATTATTGTTATTAGTAATAGTGCATGTAAGACTTTTTCATGCACTCATGAACCAATTCATAATTAAATATAAAGTTACGTAACATCAATCCCACTAATAAAACTCATAAAAATGAACAAATAATGCATTTGATGAATACTATGATTATAGATTCTAACTTGGTGTATAGTGTAATGGATAAACTATTATATAAAAATATCGACGAATGAAATTAATATACCTAGGTGACTCAAAAGGGTAATTTTATGCTATTGATATAAAACAAGATGTGATGAATAATATTGACGAACTAAATATGATACCTAGGAGACCAAATATGGAATGATGAATATACTATATAGTATAAGAATATATTATACCTAGGAGACCAAAGATGGTGATCCATGGAAGGTGTTGAAAGAAGTGAGCAAAATCCATTTCTTTTTTTGTGTATTTCTTTTTGGTTTCTTTCTCTCTTTTTTTTTGTATGAGTGAACTTAAAAGAAAAGAGATATTCTTTCTTTGTTTCTCTCTCTAATTGCAATTGCTTTGCTCTTGCTTGGACGAAATGGTAAGAGGTGGCAGAAGCTCTTTATATAGTGGAGAAAAAAGTGAATAAAGAAAAATAGAAATACAAATCATACAAAAAGCCTCAACTTTTGCATGCAATTATTAATATTATTAGAGAGGGTAGCAAACTAATTGTTTAAATTAAAATAATTGTTTAAATTTAATTTTTAATATTATGCCTTTATTTTTCAAGTTGTTTCTATCTGAAATTCAGCCTTTTTACGTAATCCCACTTCCCACTAAACATCTTCCCCTGGCATGCACACTCATTTCCTCGTCCTCTTTATTTATCAATTTTATATTTTTTAATTTTTATATATTAATCAAATATTATATATTTTAGAATTACTGATCTAATTATTACTCATATAAACCATTTTTGGTAATTAAACCTATGTACCTTCTAATGTTCTTATCCTAGTTGTTATTGCCTATTACTGAACTAAGTTAGGGTCATAAGATTGAGGGACCCACTTGAATTTACTTTCTGATGTGTCACCCACCAAGTGGTTAAAACGCCTTACAACTCATACATTTCAGTTTTTAAGGGGAGGGATTTGAATCCCCTCCCTCTATCTCTAACTAAGATATGTCTAAAATTAGAAATTACTCATCTTCAATTTAATTTCTAAGATATTAAGGTTAATTTGTTAGTTGCAACTTGGGTATTGTAATTGCATTGATTTTGATTTCGTCTTGTCTATGATTTTGTTGTAATTAATGTATAAAGGCTTGAGGTGTATAGGATTTACACGTTTAGAAGTTTTTTGTTGTTACACTACAATACCATGTCGGCTTGACAATTTTATTCCACCAAGCACCTGAAGTGTAGGAGAAATTATGGAGAAAAAAAAAAAAAAATTATGTGATTCATTCATGGTAGCAGCATATCATCCATGTTATTACCTAAAAAGGAAAATTCTTATAGACCTAATAACATATCGGACTATATATACCTTAGCTTGTTCTATGTCATTGAGATCTAATGAATATTATTGCATATCATGCTCATCAATTCATTGTAAGTATAAATTACAATTTTGCAGTGGTTACAAAATTGTCTATATATACGTAGTATATAGTATATATTAATAACTATAGACATTAATGAGAGTATTTGAATATAATAATGGTGTATACATTTCACACCGATAACTTTTTTTTTATTTTTATGATGATTTAAAGAAATATTTTGAGCATAGTAAAATGCAATAGTAAGTTCATCATCTTAAGGAAAAAAAAAAAAAAAAAAAACTTTTACCCAAAAAATAATGGTGTATACATTACACACTAATAATTAATTTTTTTAGAGTGATAATTTTTTAAAAAATATATATATTAAGTTCTATAAACATAGTAAAAATGCAATAGTAAGTTGATCTTCTTAAGTTACATGGCTTCTAACACAAAAATAATGGTGTATACACTTAATATTGATAACTAATTTAAAAAATAATTGAGTATTTTTTAAAGTTGTAAAATGCAATAGTAAGTTGATCTTTTTAAGTTAAATAACTTTTATCCCAAAAAATTAATGGTGTATACATTTCAAATTGCATGATAACACTTTTTTTTTTTTTTTTTTTGATGATTAAAAAAATAATAGAGTATCTTTAAACATAGTAACACAGTTGTATTTATAATTTGCTGTACTATGTATGATCCCATTATTTCATGAACTGTCAAGTCTTTGAACATTTGATCTTGTGCAACTAAAGCCATGTTGGTGAGGATATGTCTCAAGGTGTCAAATATAAAAAGCACATAACTTTATGTCAATCAAAAATTCTAAGTTTAAAAATTTTATTTTTTATTTTTTGTAGTTTACTATCTTTATTTCCTACAGAATTAGTTGTAACTTTAAGTACTATAATGTAATGATTTTATGATACACATTATAAAAAGATAATTTCATTTTCTACATTAAATTAAGGTATGCTAAAAAATGAACCCAAAAAAGATCAGAAATATCTTTAAATGAAGATATTACAGGAGAAATAATTTACAAATAATACGAATAGATCTTGATCGAAATAAATACTAACATTTTTTTTTCGAGAGAATAATGCAAGCAATATACTCATAGCATGTTTTTTAAAAACATATGCTTAATCAAACAGATTACAAACTAGGAGTAAAGTTAAAGTTCAGTACTCCACTAAAATGAGCTTTATTTGCTTGTACAATACTCAGACCGTGTAAATGTGTTTAATTTGCTGCATATGATCGAGTGCACTCAATTATATTGCAATCTTATTCCTATGGTAGTGTATGTTGAAACACTCAATCACCTGACATTGTTTATTAAATGGTGTATATATATATATATATATATATATATATATATATATATATATATATATATATATATATATATATATATATATATATATATATATATATATATTATATATATATATATATATATATATATATATATATATATATATATATATATATATATATATATATTAAAAAAATTAAGAAAATAAACATTGAGAAGAATCAAATTAAACAAGATCCCAAAAGTAAAAACTTCATCGATACATTATTTATACACACTCCTTTAATCGTCTTTTATAATCATACATAAGTTAAGCTAGGAAAAATATAATCATATAGAGTCTTGTTAAATTCATCTTATGTACATTTAAAATATTACGGAGTAATTTTTTATAATTTTAACTTAATATTATAATTAAATATATCAATGACATAAAATGTGCATTGATAACTGCTAAACCCCAACGTTACCATAATAAAAGATTGTGGATTTTTTTTTTCCTTACTCCTTTCTATGTATATTTGAATAAATGAATCTGAGTGGCTCACGTGCCATTGCATAAAATTGACTATTAATGTCTTTAGTTATCTATTAACAAAATTAAAAAATAAAATATTGTATATTGAAAATATACTTAATCTAACAAAACTTTGCATACTAACACATGTATATACTGTCTTATCTATAATACTCCGTATTATAAAATAAGGTCAAAATTGGCATGTAAATAATGCAAAAGTCAAACTGGTTCATTTATTCAAAAGATAGGAGTATAATTTTTACTTCGTACTTCATATTAATTAAGTTTTTAGGTTCCATTTATATTTGACTATATAAAAATTACATAATCAATTAATAACGAAGGTAGTATACGAAGTATGAACAAAATTACAGAAGTAGTTTATTTTTCGACTTTCGGCTTAACCAATATAAATTCTACCTACTTACATGATTCCTTAATTAATCTTTTTAACTTTATACTTATTAAAGAAAATGTTATCACCTTGATCTTGTAAATCCAAGTTGCACCACAATAATTCTAGCAAAAACTACTCTTTAAAGGGTGAGTCTTGAACATATTCCTCTAAATAATGAAGAAAGCAAAGTAAACCATTGGAGATATTTGAAAGCACACACCATGAGTTATTATTGAGCATTGACCATAATAATACTCTACTTACTTTCACGTTTTTCGAGAATCCATGGTTTGGATTGATGACGTGGAATCGCAAGATCAACGATTAGATTTGTAGTAATGATGATTTTGTGTTTGAAGGAGTTAATCCAACGGTGGAGATTCAATGACTAGAATTAAAGATTTTGTGCATATTGTCACGACCCACACATTCCACCCCTCACTAGGGCCATTGGACGGGAGGCAACAATCGTGGCCAAGGGGAATGCCCTTGGTGCGCACTGGCTAGGCCAGAGACACCCTCCCCCTATAGAGCTTTATATTGCTCCAGTGCTGTCACCCTAGTAAACACCCAAGTGACAGTAACACAATAATGGGCTATTTGGGGACCCAAATGAAGACCGATGGAGCCCAAATTTGGGGGTCCACCATTTTTAGGCCCAATGAACATCATGGTGGTGTTAGATTTTGAAGGAGAAGTCCGGAAGGTTCCAGAATACTCAAGGAGACTCGAGATGCATCCGGAAGCTTCTAGAACCTCCTAGGACATCCTTGAATCATCTGTAGATTCTAGAGTTGTGTAGATAATTCTAGAGCCTTGTACATAGAGGGAATGTACTAAAGAAATGTATAGAATACTCTAGAAAGGATTAGATCTAGAACCCTCCATTTGAGGAGGTTAGTGAAGGTTCTAGGCCATGCTTAGAACACTATAAATAGGGGACTTGGCCTTCATTTAGAGGCATCTCAGAAAATACTTGTAAACACTCTCTCTCAAGCTATCAAAGCATTCAAAATATTTATATCCTCTTGTGTTCTCAAACATTCCTTAACTTTCGTTGCACACTCTTGCTTGAAGCATTTCGGGGTTAAGCCTTGACTAGCATCCGAGGGAGGGAAGTTAGTAGGCTAGCGTGCATAAGACTAGGGGGATTAGTCAGCACGTGACAACGTGGTATCAGAGCAGCTACGGTCGCGGGGGACTATAGTGCTGTTGAGCTTTGTTAGCAAGTTGTGAGCGAAGGAGGAAGAATGGCAAAGAGCAAGGACGGCAAGGACGCTAGTGCTTCACAAACAACCGAGGGCTATGCGCCTGAGGCTCTCATTCAAGCTGTCCAAAAGCTTGAGAAGCGAGTGAATAAAGTTGATGAGAGATCGGCCAAAGCCGAAGTTGCTGCTTGCGACATGACGGATTCTGTCGGCAAGGTCTAGAGGAGGTATCCCTTGATGCTCAATCACTCGCTGATCAGGCTTTTGAGAAGATGATGGGCGAGATGGCAAAAATGCGTGAGGAGTTCACGGGGGAACTCCTTGCTTTGAAGAAGGAGAATGAGCTCTTCAAGGAGGAACTCACGTCGCTAAAAAGGACCACGATGGCTGGGGGCGCCACCATTCAAGTCGGTCCTAAGGTGGAAATTCCCAAGCCTCCAAAGTATCATGGAAAGAGGGATGCTCGGGAAATTGACAACTTCCTATGGAGCATGGAGCGATACTTTGAGGCTGTGCACTTGGAGGAGGATGCCTCCAAGATTAATGATGTCACTATGTATCTCGGAGATGATGCCATTCTGTGGTGGAGAAGGCGTGAA